TGCTTTGGCAACAACCGTAGAGAGCCCCTTTTGGAGCGGGGTGAATCCCCTGGAGGAGAGAGCGAGCAGCCAAATAGCAGCAGTTCCTTCCGCAGCGGGTACGCGGATTTTGTGCTGAGTGGAAATTCTTTGGGAAGAGAGAAGTGAGTGATGATCGGGTTGAACTAACCCCCTTGGGGCTGCCTTCCCCCAGGTGTGCCCGAGGAAGATGACGATGCCTGCAGTGACTATGGGAGTCCCTGCAGTGACTATGGGAGTCGCGACAAGCCAGGAACCACTTTAGGAAGGACTGTGCCAGATGGGAATGTGCTTTTTCCAGATATTTTTCAAACTGATAATCTTTTGTTTTATGAGAGATTTAAAGCTTATCAGGACTACATTTTGGGTAAGTAATTTCTTGGTAAGAAGGCATACACATGTTTCTTGTAGTGACTTTTAACATGATCCACTTTAAACAGATGCAATTCTGTATGTTTCAACAAGATCCAGATAATAATTAGGACTTGAAAGAATCTAGTGTCCTGACCATCACTTGTCAGATTACCCTGCCATAAATTGAGCTGTTCTAGCTGAAGGACAGGGAGCCAATGGCTTTAGTATAAGTAAATCTGAGTGACTGACAGGCTGAGTTGCAAATGCTGGATTCTGTGCCTTGTTTTAGGTCGTCTCACTAGCATTTTTTCCCGTATGTAGGAACACTGTGCAGGTTGAGACACACCTTGTCTGCTTAACAGCACAGGCACCCAGAAATCCTCAGTATGTGGGAGGTTGAGGCTGGATCTTTTGCTCCTTCACAGAAGTGTAGAGCTAGTGACATCCCCCAGTTCTCCCCATGCTGAGAGACACCAACAGGGCTGGCAGCCATGAGCAGAGCAGGACGCAGTCCAGTTTTGGACATGATAGAGGGATGATATAGCTTGGTTGAACTTTTTTTTTCAACAATACGGAAGACTTTATTTTATTGCATTAGATGTGCTATCTTCAATTTCTTTTCAGCTGACTGCAAAGCTTCTGAGGTGAAAGAATTCACAGCTGAGTACCTGGAGAAGGTCCTGGAGCCGGCAGGGTGGCAGGCAATCTGGCGCACTAATGTTTTCGAGGTGCTGGTTGAGGTAAGCAGAATGCACATTTGCAGCCCCTTGTCTCCAAGCATTATTTACTTCTCTGTTAACAGGCAGCTTAGTTATCTTTAAAGTTTATAAGCTGATAGAAAATAGTATCCATTTCCTATCTTCTTGCCAGCGATGTCTAGTGCAATAGAGCTCTCTTTAAAGGCAGCCTTGCTTTGAAACCCAGTGTCTTATACATCAGTGCTTTTCCTTCACCTCCAAGCATAAGGTTGGAGCTCATGATCTGATACCAGCATGCACAAGAGGCTGCTATTCCAGTGAGGCACTGCTGCTCAGAAACAGCTCTTCAGGGCTGTGGCATATGGTGCAACTTCAACCAAGCAGAGTAGATTGTCTAATTTTGGCTTTGTTTCATTTCTTAGTCTTGGAATTCACCTGTCTGCTGTTTAAAAAATGATTTTGCTACTGAATTATAACATTGATAGTGAGCAGATAAATTACATTTTAATTTGGGACACAAACCCTAAAATGAATGGTGTTGGGTTGCTTGCGAGTACACTGGAAAACGAGCCTCAGAGGAGTCTATGGTAACTGGAAGAACTTATTTGATTGAGTCTGGTGATACTGCTTTTTGCCCATTTAAAAACAAGTAGCAACAACAAATATAGAATAGAGGAGTGGCTTTTGGGTAATACGATGGACTTGAGCAATGTTTGCAATGTGGAAGCGTCCTGCACGCATGGGTGTGAGTAGCTTAATCTGGGGGTTATCACTTTGGTTCAATAGTTTGCTGTACTGTGCAAAGTGTGTTGGTTTCGGGGGGCAGCTGTGTTTCCAATAACGCCCGGGGCCTGAACGCGCTGTTTTAGCCTCCTCAGCTGTGCCCACGGGTCTGTGCAGAGGTGCCTGTTCCAACAGGTGCTTGACGTGGAGTGCTCGGCTCTGAAGGCGCTCGTGCGCTGCGGCGAGCCGCTCCTGTGCGAGTCGCGGGTTAGCAGCTTCACGGCGGAGAGCGTGCGGGAGCTCCTGGAGCTCAAGGAGCATCAGATACCCCTGCAGGAGCTCTGGGTTGTGTACGATGAGTCGGGAGAGTTTGACCAGACGGCGCTGGCCATAGAGCATGTCAGGTAGGAAAAGCTCAAGGCTTACTTTTTGTCACAAACACACTTTTCTACGTTCGGGGAGTATGTGTTTGGTGCCCTTCTCAGTGGGCTTTGGTGGTCATGCTGGCAGCCAGGCAGGTCCAGCTTTCCAAAGCACATCTGCTGCCTGCTACCATGAGGGCTCCAAGGACTGTTCACCCCCAGGTAATCAGTTAGGCACCAGACGGACCTTCCTGGAGCTTATGGCCATGCTGCTTTCAGTGTCAAATGGAAACAATAAGTAGTCATTTCTTTCCCTCCCTTGTTCCATACCCCAGCTTGGGCTGTATCACCTTGCTGGCTCTAGTATTCTTTTCTATAACCATACTGGATATTTTTGCCCTTTTGTCTCATTGTGTTCTTTTCCTGTGCTTTGCTTCCTCCCCTAAATATGCTCATTCTTCAGCTGTCTGTTCACATCTTACCCTGCTTTTTTTTTTCCTCCATCATCTCTGTCTCTCCCCCCTCTCCCCTTGCTTCTGTGCTATGCACTGTTTGAAAACTGCTCACAAATGAGCAGTAGGACCAGACTGATAAACTGAAGTAGGAGGAAGAGCCACCACCTGCAACATGGGCAGCGTTTCCAAAGTGGCTGGTGCAGCAAGAGAGGGGGAGAAGAATCCCATCCTGTGAGGAGGCTTCGTGCTGTGTTCAGCATTGCTCTGTAGCGGAGATGGAAGCTTGAATGATGAATATGATGAACTTGCTCCAGACTCTAGGGGCAGTTTAGCTGAAGGGTGAACGACCAAACCCAAAGAGTGTCTGTATCTCTGGTATCTCTAGGGTGCAAGTGTTTTTTCCAAAGCCCACTTTTAGTTGTTCAGTGTGTTTTAATGAAAGTCAGGGGCACTCAGACTGTAATAAATTACAAAATTCAGAAAGACAAAACTATATCTAGTAAAATAGTTCATGAGAGAGGGCTTTTTGTGTGCTCAGCAGTCTCAGCAGAATTGAATGGGGAGTGGTATTTTGAGCTCAGTTCTTGTGGTTATATTCCTGTTTCAAGTTCTGTTTCTGCTCAGGTAAATGTGGCTTCCCTGGTGTGTGTTTAAATGCTTACTTTGTTTCAAAAGGTTCTTTTACAAGTGCATTTGGAGGACTTGGGATGAGGAAGAGGAGGATGATTTTGATTACTTTGTGCGATGTGTTGAGCCTCGCCTGAGACTGTAAGTGCAACCTCTTCGCTAGGTAAAACCCCAGGTAAAGGTGATGTGAAAATAGTAACTGCGCAATTTCAAAGAAAGCCCTTTATTAGAAAATCAAATCAAGTCTGTTCTAGCAGCAGTCGCTGTCTGATGCTCCAAATTTGTGTGCAGAGAGAGGGCAGCTGAGGCTGCCGCTTCATTTCTGAATCGCCCGGTTTCCCTTTTGATCCTTAACGTTCCATCAGGTGGCGCTCCGGATCCAGCGATAACCTCAGCTTGCAGGCGAGCGCCCTGCAAGCACAAGCAATCCTGACTAGGGCTGCCCTGGGATGCTCTGGTGCCTTTGGGTGTAGAATAAGAACAAGAATGGAGCAGAATGTAAGCAAAAACTTGACCAAAAAAAAAAAAGAGGGAGGAAGGTATGTGTTTCTTTTCACAGTGGGATTAGTTGGCATTAGCTTTTCCAAAGGTGCGTTTGTAATGCCATCCATCCATACGGACTGATGCGGTGCCCAGGGAAGCAATCTGGTTATATTTCGAGGGCGCTAAACTACAGTGCACCATGAAACATGCCTGGAGCAAATAATTGAACAGCAATTCCCACTGGAAATTGTTCCAAAGATTTGATGCCGTATCTGTTCTATTATGTTTTTCTTTAGAGCTATTGTTTGATCCATGCTCCTTGTGTATTGTAACTTACTGTGAGTATCCAAAAGCTTGTGTCATTCATATACAGGTCTGATGCTGCTATGATGCTGCAGAATTGCATTAGTGAATATTTAACTCCGACCTGTCACTTAAAATATAGTGTTAAATCTCAAGGTGCTTTATGAATGGAAGTAGTATCATTACATGTACAGTAAAGATGACTATGGGCCTCCCTTTCAAACAGGACATATGTGACATCTTAGCCCTCTGATATGCCTGGGATTTTTCCTGAGATCATGCAAATTAGGGGGAAGATACATATGGAAATCATGCGTTAGGGAGGTGTTTATACTTCAGGGTCCCTAGCAAATAGTTATTCTGTAATCATGTGTCAAGACATGGCGAGTTTGTTATTTTTTAAGGTAGCATGTGGCCTTACATTGGAGTAGAAGTTTTTCTTAGTGAGAATCCAAAATACTTAAAAGTCTTCAAGCAAAAAATAAATGTTTTCCTTTCTCATTCTCCCTAGTTTGATGTAAAGCCTGTGCTCTAAACTGTGATGTTGTTGGTGCTATCCTGTGTTGTGATCTATGCACTGACATGACAACTCATAGATAACATTCATCTCCAATGTATGGAAACACATGATGCTTTAAGCTTTTCAGGTCTCTGGTGAGCACTGTTTTGATTGAAACAGATAACATCCTTATGCTGCACGTCAGCCTGTACTAGTCTGTTGAGGCACATAAAACTGTATGAAACATTTCACCAAAGCTTGGGGAAAAAAGTTTAATGCACTTTCAGAGCGACAAGCCCTAAAAGGACTATATATTTCAGGGCTGAATTGCATACAACATCCACTATCCTTCTGAGTATTTTATACTTCTATATTTCTATGAATTATTTTGCTCTTAGTCATCCTGAATTCACTTACTATTGCTTCTAACAACCTCATTGCCAAAATTTTGTGAGGCTTTTCTGACCCTGTATACCTTGTTTATCACAATTGCATAAATGTTTACTGCTCTCACTGCAGACTATATTGCTCTTCATAGCATCCTGTAAATGTATCCTGTGAAGAACCTCTGAAAGTGGAGAGAATGTCTTAGCCCATATTTCATTTAGTGTCCTGAGCAGAGCTATTCATGCTACATTCAATTGCTTTCCTATAAAATTTGGTGGTGGGAGTTATTTCAGTCTTGTTTTATTTGTACTGTTAATTATTGTCCAGCTTTTTCGTAGTGACCTTCATTGGTGCTGCACGATTGGCCTTGGAGTTCTTGGCACTGTCTAGCAGATGACTTTATCTTTCTGACTTTGGCAATGCAACTTCAGGCTGGAATCTTCTGCCCTGCAATTTCCTTTGTACATCCCTCTTGGAAAACATATTATGTAGTGGTCACCTCTTCATCCAGTCCTGATACTATCTGTCTTATTCATTATCTTGAATAATTTCTTTCTTTTGACCAAGTAGGTTAGATTGTTGTTAGTGGAGACTTCACTTTATTCTTTTTAATTAGCACATAACTGCCTCTCTTTTTTCTCTAATACATGCTTAAGAATAGATTATTTTTTATCTGGTTAACTGCTAAATCTCACTTTTTGTAGTTATATTTGTGTTTTTTAGAATAAGTTTTTCATCATTTTGTCATCTTTCAGTGTGGGTGGGTAACTTCTTAGAGATAAGGTTTGTGTGTATCTGTGTTCAGATTTTTTTGGTTCTGCTGTTTTCAAGAAGGTTGAACTATGTTGCTAGAGACTGCAGACAATTTTGACTGAAGTATTGATCTAAAGCTCCTTAGATTCTCTGTGGGTTTCTACTCAATCCTTTCAGCTTGAGAATTTGAGAAGTACTGACTCCTTGCTCTGAATTGCAGGCACTACGACATCCTTGAGCATCGTGTTCCCTCCGGGCTTGTGGCTGATTACCAAAACTTGCTGACTCAGTGTGAGGAGCTCTACGGGAAGTTTTTAGACTTGAGGAGCAGCATGTCAAGCAATGATTCAGACTCAGAAGTAGAAAATGTTTCCATGGTGGAAGGCCTAAAACTATATGAGAAGATAGAGCACTTAAAACAAAAGCTAAAATTAATTGAGAATCCTCTTTTGAGGTACTTACTGGGTTTGTGTAATGAGGAGAGACCATATGGGAAAATACGTGCAAAAATGTTCTTTCCTGAAGGAAGAACTGATGGTTTTGTTGCTCTTGTTCTAGGTATGTGTTTGGTTACCAAAAATACAGTGGTCTTCAGGCTAAAGGACTGAGACCAGCAGGTACCAAGATCACTCATGTTGTGTCCTCAACCATGATGGCAAGTCTGTTGCAGTCCTTGATAAGGGATAAACTTTGTCCTGAATCTTATGGTGAAGAACTAGAAATACAGGTTGGTAACAGTTGTTGTCTGTCACCCAATACTTTTCTCCTTGAAACAATGTGGAAGAGTAACTTTATCCTGTTACCAGATGTTACATTCATGCCATATTGATTTTTGTTAATTAGACTGGAAGGTATACATTTTGATACATTTGTCTTCCAAATACTCAATACAACCTGTTTCCTTCCTGTACATAGGCAATAATAAAATATATCTCCAGAATATAAACATTCTGTAATGAAATGTGGAGATAATATTTATATATATATTCTTTATAATATTTTTTACTTAAAATTATCTGTCTACATCTCTTGATCTGATTCTAGTAACGATGATCTAGGGTTGGATTGCTGTGGATTCCTTGGGGCCAAATGAAATTGCTTGCTGTGTTCTTGTCAAGCTTACGAATTACAGATGGGCCCAACTATGCCAGAAGGGAGGATCCAGATTGATTTTTTTGGGGGAGACTATAAATCAAATTGAGTTGACAATTGAAACATTCTCTTACTCTGTGTAACCTGAAAATTGCTTGGGAGCCATGAACATGCAGTTTTCTGTACCATTTGTTGTCTTTCAAAACAGAATGCCCTAATGATATTTGTGAGGGATGGCAGTACCTCTTTAAGTACTGAAACCTTTTATAAGAAAAGGACCGTGCAGACCTCGTATCTGCCACTGCAGCATTTAAATTCTATTTTGGAGCAAAGGATTAGGTCAGTTTTTAGGCTAACTCAAACCTGATTGCTGAGGGTTTTTTTGTGTTTTTGCTTTTCTTTGTTATGCATTTCTCTGGTGCCTCAGGTGACTTGCCCTGAATCACAAATCAGATGTTCACCTGGAGCCCAGGCACACTGAGGTCTTCTTTCCTGTGCATCTGCTTTTCAGTCTGGCTCTCTGCCCCATCTTTCTCATGGGGGAGCAGACATAAACATCAAACAAATGTTTTAAGGCTGATTATGTCCAGAGAGTGTGCTGTAATTCTTGAATTCAAAGAAGAAATGGTTATTGGTGCCTTTTAAAAAGGATTTATTTTAAACAAAAGCAGCAACACTGAACTGAAAAGAATCTCTAAGACATAAATATAAGCTATGCTTGTAACAGTTTTCAGGAGTTGTTGTTGTTTTTCTTTTATAGTTTCATAGTGATCCACTGGCAGCTGTAAATGCCTGCTATGAAGGAGACACTGTCATCATCTGCCCTGGTCGTTACGTTGTAAATGGTGTGTTCTGCATTGCTGATTCAATTGAACTAGAAGGTAGGGGCTTTCTAGCATAAGTCTGAAAACCGTGTAAAATATGTGTCCTAAAAGAGAGAGGCTTTGCAGAAAGTGCTTGGTGGGTTTTGTGTCAGGTTTTGTTGTTGCTTTTGTCTTTTTTTTTTTTTTAATGGGGATATTCTTCTGGTTCTGTTTTACTTGCCTTAATCTCCTTCCAAGGAATACTCTCAGACCGGATGCCACCACAATGCTGGTGAATACAGAATGCAAAAGGCCAAATGCTACTGGGATTTTGTTTATGGCACTTGTTGCATGTTGTGTGTGTGTGCGGGCTGCCAGTGTGGATTTGTGCTGTTATGTGAAGTGCATGGACTCAGAAAGGTGCTAATGATTTGACATCTACATTTATTTTGTAGAAACTACATATGTAACTGCTTCTGTCTCTCAAAACACTACTGTGTGCTTGGATTTAAAAGAAATACATGTGCTTTGTTTGGGATACATGGCCATCTTGTCACATTTCTCGAATTCTGGTAATTGCTCAGCTTTAGGCATGCTCCCTGTTAGCAGTTTACCAAACAGCTTCAAGTGAAGATTACAGCTTGCAGTGTAATAGGCCATATATCACTGTGGGCATAGTACAGCTGTTCAGACACTTCAGCTATATTTTTTCACCTTCATCTTGTCAATTTTCCTTAATGGGAAGATGGCTGGGAGCTTAATTTCCTGCTGTTCGGGGCTATATTTTTCTTGTCCTCTCTGTATTATGAGCATCACTTCTCAGCCTTCTTTTGTATGTTTTACTTATACAAACAGGAGTGCTGCAGGACCTCAGCCTGTTTTATTTCTCCATGAGAATGGTGCTACTGTGAGGTGCTGCTGAGTGGTGTTTGTGGCAACTGCTTTTCTAGCTTTGCAGAAGCAGAAATACCAGTGGCGAAGCAGCACAGCTATTAAAGAATGAGCTGCTCTATTTTTAAAGAGCAGAGAATATAAATAAGTATCTTTAGCCGGAGCCACTTGAATAATGAACTTAAATCAAGGCATTTAATCTCTTTATATGGACTTCTCTTAGAGAAATTTTTATAGCAGTAGTAGCAGCTGAAAACGTTTGAAGTAGGAGCATCAAGGGAAACTTTGGTGGCACTAATCCAAACAGTGGCTGTTTAGGTAGCTTTCTTAGCATGAAGGGGTGACTCATCAAAGGTGTCATGTCACTTTGCTTAGTAGAGCTTTAATACTGACTTGCACAGTGAATAGAAAGTATTAAGGTTGAAAGTATGAGGATTAGTAAGTCAGGGATAAATAACTTAGAAGAACTAAGTAAGGTTTAAGCGCAGGAAAATCATGGTAAGGGTTTAGCACTTAATGGAAGCAGTTTAGCAAAGACACCCCAGAACAACTCTTCCGCTTCTACAGTGAGTTGGGAACCTGTCATCAACCTGTTTGGTAGCAGTGATGAGTTTTAGAGCACGGCCACTGCCTTTAGCTGCTGCGGGGTTGCTTAGTGCTCAGGAAGGTCCTGCCTAGGCTGTGTGCTGAGCACCCCTTGAGGGGTCCTTGTCACCTGCTTCCTGCTCCAGCTGCTGCTGCAGGTGTTGCATGTTAAGCAAGCTAGCAGTGTGGTTACAAGGTCTCCAGGCAGCCTGTAAGATGTTATTCCTGCAGCCTGTAAGACATTATTCCTGAAGCCTTTGCCTTACATAACAATTCTGGTTCTGCAGCAGTCTGCAGCTGAGCTGGATCTGCCACTTGCTGTCCCCCTGTGCTCTCCTATTACGTACCAGCAATAAATTGCCCCTTGCAGACTCCCTAGGGGTGACCATAAATCAGCAGTGGTGGAAACAAAATTCTAGATAGTGTAACATGCTGAAGTATCAGTCATGTAATGACTTTAAATCTGCTGTCTTTAAAAACTTTCTGCCAACTCTTTTTCAAAAGCTTTTTATTTTTTTAACTTTTCTTGCACATAAGAGTGTTTATGTACTTGTTTTATTTATGTACTTGGTTACCCTGCTCAGGCATTTCTTAGCTGAGTTCATGTGCATTTTCAGAAAATGATAGGAGTCATGCTGCTTTAGTAGACATTGCATTATTGCCTTTCTTATCATGATTCTTGTCTGTGACAAGCAATAGCAGCTCTACATGCTCATAAATTTCACTATAAGTGGTTGAATGCTGACAGCTGTGGATGGCTTCCTAAATCAGTGTTGGCATATGCTTGTGCAAGTTTGTTATTAATCTGGAAGCCCATGTAAGAGGGACACATTAGTTTTGACCCAAGTTTCATTTACACATGGAAGCTGAGTGAATCCTATTAACACCATGAAGTGCTGGAGCTTCTGCCCTGTCCTAGGGAACTCGTGTGCACCTGCTAAGCACGTAACTGTTACCTGTTTTTCTTAAACTTGTCCTCTGCTTTAAGGCTATGGTTTGCCAGATGATGTCGTGATAGAAAAGCGAGGGAAAGGAGACAACTTTGTTGACTGTACAGGAGCCGATATAAAGATCTCCAATGTGAAGCTAGTCCAGCATGATGCTGTGGAGGGGGTTGTAAGTAAGTAGTAAAAGCGCTTTGACCTTTTTGTGAAGCTTTCATAATTTACTGATAGAATTAAAGCTGGGATCCACTATTAGAGTTTACCAAAATGTAGTGGAGGAGAACTGTAAAGGTATAAATATCGAGGCTTGACTTTTTAAAATTTATTTTTAACGCGTATAATCTGGAGATCAAAAATAACTTCCCTGTGTACTTTAAAGCTGTTGTGGCTCTCAAGCTATATTCTTGCTTGAGTAAGACTATTTGACCTATTTTTCTGCTGCTAAGGCTACCTGACTGTGCTGCAGAGCCTATTCCAAACTGCCTGCAAAAGGAAATTTCTCCTTACAAAAGAACTCCCTTGGCAATATTTAGCTTCAGCTGAACCAGCCAGCTCCCCATTCCTCAGGCAGTGTAGATGATTGATTGCTGGTAACATGTCCAACCTGAGGTCCAAATAAAGCTGTTTGCAGCGAGTTTATTGGCCACAGCCTTCTGTCCTTATCGAATGTGCTAATTAATGTCCAAGAGACACTTTGTTCCATACTTGTTAAAAATAGTTACTAACAGCTATATGGGTATTTAATTTTAGTTCAAAAGTCTCTTAGGGAAATGAAGAAAAGAATTTTTGTTGTCACTTAAACAGTCTCCCCCATCCCAGGAAGAAGAACCTTAAGAGAAATTCAGCTAGTGCTCCTTTGCAGTAGCATTTCTGTTTATATGAGAAAAATAGTTTGTGTCCCAAGTATTCTAAGCAAATCAGTAAAATAAATCAAGTTAAAGTTGATAAAATTAAAACAGGAATTTTTAAAAAATACTGTAAAAATGCTGTAAGTTCATCTCTGTAGGGAAGGTCTGCCTCTGCATAGCTGATTCAGTTCACAATATTGGTTGTGTATGCAGATGTTCACCATGGGAAGACCACCCTGGAGAACTGCGTCCTGCAGTGTGAGACCACAGGCATAACGGTGCGGACAGCAGCCGAGCTGGTGATGAAGAAATCGGATCTGTACGGTGCGAAGGTAGGAACAAGGTCTTAATTCTGTCTTCATTCCTGAAGTAAAACAAAGACTGCTGCTGGGAAGTAATACAGTCAGTAAAGGGAGGAGAGAACCTTCAAATTTGCTTGACAGCTACATTCTGACTTTGACATCCCTGGAATCACTCTCTAAGGCTCATGTGAGTATCTCCTGCTGGAGTATCTCATGCTGACTTGTGGGTGATGCTGTATGAGAATCACAAAGTCACAAGTGACATCTGTGACATAATGGTTGCTACATTGTTGGATTATTTGATGTCCTGCAATACCTTGAAAATTACTTTTTCCTGTCTACAAATATTGCTTTTCATTAAATTGTGTATCTGTTCAGCAAATGAATGGCCCTTTTTGAACATCTTACACATTGATCCTTGCAGAAGGCTGATAAACACAAATTCAAACTCTGATAGAACATTTTGAAGAAAGATGGGGCTTTGGGTGTTTAGATGGATGACAAAATAGCCAGCAAATGCTGCAAGGCTGTGCAGCTGCTCTTCACCAGCGGTGGCACTGAGTGGTGGCAATAGCGTTGTCCAAAGGGCCTTCAGCCTCGGCCGTGCGCTCAACGAGCTAGTTACCATTCCAGCTTCAGGGCTTTGTTAACGTGGTTTTACACTGTGCAACTGGAAGAGGAGCATGAAGATCCCCAATGGAGTTGTCAAATTCTGCTGGAAGTGTGCCTGAACTGCCAACAACTTTATCTTGCAGGGTGCTGGTGTGGAAATTTATCCAGGTAGTACGTGCACCCTGTTAGACAACGGCATACACCACTGCAAGGAGGGAATCCTTATAAAGGTCAGTTGCAGGCAGACTGTGCTTGTAAAAGATCATAGTTACTAGGATGGATGGAAATAACTTGTGTTTAGGTGGCCTTGTGGATGTCCTGTCCTTATGGGCAGAACTCATATTTGTCACACGTGATGGTGCTTGTTTTTTGCCTGGGAATCTAAATCTGACTAAAACTGTAGAAGTTTGCATTCCTTTCACTGCATGTAACACCTTGGGTTCCTCTCTCTGCTCTAGAACTTCCTAGATGAGAATTATGACATCCCCAAGATAACCATGGTCAATAACATGATTCATAATAATGAAGGGTATGGAGTGGTCCTGGTTAAACCAACGATCCCATCTGATGTAAACGATTTTTCAGCAGTAAAAAGAGAAGGTATGTTTGCCTGGGGTTTGGATTGTGTAATTCATAAGAAGGTCTCAAATTTCCTAATAATGTCTAGATTGATTTAGCCAGATATCATAACTTTCAGATTACTGGCATTTCCCAAATGATGATCTTGACACAGACAAATACTGTAGATGTCTGTGCACCATGCTGTTTTCTGACCATGCTCTATGTGCACTTCTGATTTAAATCCCTTAAATATCTTTGCCCTTGAGTAGGCAGAGCCTGGGTGGCTGGTGGCCTCATTGGATCATACAGCAGAGGGATCAGCAAGAAATTAGATATGAGGGTCATCTGAAATGGATTTTCTTTTTCCTGGTCATTCCCTCCTTGGTTTTCTCTTTGTGCCCCAGAGCTGGGGCATTGTTCCCTGCAGCATGTAACATGACGTTTGTATTCCCCATATTATGTCTTAGTCAGGAAGACTCTTGAGTGCACAACAGTTTTCTTTAATCAATTGGCCCATTGAAGTCATCACATGATTAAAAAACCCTTATCCTTAAACATCATAAGCTGTATTTGGAATGTGTGTCTGTCACTAAATAGTTAAGATTGAAAAGAAAGCGTTAAGATTGGTGGGTGTGGGGGGTTTGTGTGAAATTCCAGGGCTGTTTTGCATGATCAGTGCTAACATTCTCATTGTTTTCTGACTTAGGGAATGCAGAGGCTCACACTGGCAGTGAGGGTGCCTGTGTAGAGGCCCTCAGACGCGAAGAGCTACCTGGATGTATCACTGCTGATTTGGAGCGTTACGAGCAAGATCTGATTGCTGAGCAAGCTGAAAGCAATTATGAAATTGCAAACGAACTTGGTGCCACTTCTGCAAAGAAGAGCCAGATGCACAAGAAAAGGCTGAGTAAACTGGGAATCACAGAAGCTGATGACAACTTAATGTCACAGGAAATGTTTGTTTCTATTGTGGACAACCAGTTCAAATGGAATGGGAAAGGGAGCTTTGGTACCTTTCTTTTCTGACTGTCCTCACTCTTAATGGCTTGGCAGTGTAAGATTTGCACAGCTATTAATATCACTGCTGCTTTGCAAGAGGTTGGTCTGTTTCATCTGCCTTCCATTATGTTATTAAAATGTGATAAGTATTTTTTAGCAGTTTATATATTGCATGTGGAAATCTTGCTTCCTTGCTGCAAATATGAACAGCATGGTGGACAAAAAAGCAGAACCCTAATAGGGAAACCCTGCATGGAGTCTGCCAGTTTACATGCTTGTCCTTTGCTGGCTGAATGATTTTTTTGAGTGTATTTATTTAACCTGTAAATATAAAAAAACTTTAAAAAAAAAAAAAAAAGTCTACCATGGAAGAATGGACAAAAAAATGCAGCTGCTAATGATAAATTTCCCTTTTTTTCTTTAAGCACAGCTAACCTGTAGCTGATTCCTCTTGGAAATTGGCTGAATTCTTCATTTTGCACATTAAACAGAAGCTAATGAAATGCTCTTCTTTAGGAAATGTAGTGCTTGGCTGCTGTGTTTTATACTTGAAGGATTTTCTAGCAACTTCAGCACTTAGGTAATTCAGTGTTCTGCCTCCACGTGCCAGGTGGAGACTTCCAGCAGCTAACGAGGTCTGTGTCCTTTCCCCTGGGGAGGACAGTGTTTAACTGAATTCCACTCATCTGAATAAAGAGACATTGAAGTAGATGCATTTATCTCCTTATATCTGAATCTGCCCACTGCTGAAACGTGCAGAATTTGGTGGGAGATAGCAGCACTGCTCAGTCCTTGCTGATCATGCTTGTTTTGAAAATGCCAGGAATTACTAAGCCATCCATATGGGACACCTTATTCCCAGTTTGAAGAATACTTCAAATTTGGTTTGCTTGGAGAGCTTAAGAGAAGTTAACCTTTTATTTTTAATGCTAAGAAACACTTTTATAATTGTCTTCATCTTCACAGTAGGATTTTTTGGCCTTATCACTCTTACAGCAGCCACATTTTTCTGTGGATATGTGGTGATTAAGTCATAAGTCTGTCATTTCATGCTTTAGTAAACCAGAAATATAAAGCTAAATTGGTCCACACAGTGGTGGTTATATTCACCTGGATTATGGGAGAATTGCATTCAAATCTATTCCAATAAATATTTAATTATTTATGCAATATAGCTCAAGTGAGAGACTTCAGGTAGCCAAGGGTTTGGCTGGTGGTGTGAGGGGTTTGATTTGAACAATACAAGAATGTGAAGGGGAATCAGATCTGAAGGTAAGTTTAAAGTGAATGGGGGACAGGAAAAAATGCAGCCAGAGAGAACGCTTTTTAACATGTTTCTCTGAAATTTCACTCTTAACTAATTGCCCTTAGCTGACAAAATACCTTACAAATACACACTCAGGTGAGCTTGGTCTTTAAAAACTACCTTAGTGCTTGCTCTGCATGTAATCTAGAAGGTTTTTTTAGCAAAGAAGGTTAAGATCTAAGTGGCCATTCTCAGAACACCTCTGAGGATTTTAGTTATTGGCTTGTATTGTTGTTCCTAGCAATTTCTAGGAAGTATGTTTAAAGTTTGTTATACTGTTTTCACCAGAGAGGAGCCAGACCAATAGGGGTCCAAAGAAGAAAAAAACAAAACGTGAAAGCTCAGCTGAACAGCTCAGCCTCTGGAGCAAAGGAGAAAAAAAGTGTGATGAGAACTAATCCAAGACCCATTAAAAGAGGGATTTATGCTCTAATGTGCCAGTTTCTTATTAGGAAGACTAAAATAAATCTAGCCTTTGTCCTTTATTACATGAAATTAGATGATATGATGTCTATGCATCTCGTCAAAGTGATAATTAGGTACTACGCTGCAGCAGCACTGCCAGGAGCAGCATCTTATTGTGTCGGAAAAGGTTTTTTCCAGCGCAAAGGTATCCTGCCAGCTGCCTGGGGGGTTTAGCAGAACGTTTTGCCTTATATTCTGCTGAAAGTAATTAGTTAGGCTTGTGTTTGCAAGCACAGGATTAAAGTGAAAAAAGGGTTGAAGTACAAAAAGTGCACTAACACTGGCAGGTTTTCATGTTTTATAGGCTAGACTTAGCTTCTGCATGGTGTAATTTAGAGGAATGAGGTGCAAACTTTTTGCTCTATCTACTTACTGATGAAGTGCAACCACCATTCACAAAATTTCTGAGAATAAGGAACACACTTGTTTAAAATCCATTGACTGATGAACATGCTTTTTATAAGTCCATAAATTGTAATAACCATGCTGGTAGCCACTGCAGTTTAGAGATTATATGTTCTGAGCTTTTAAATTTTGACACACATGATTCTGGATTATCTAGCTCCTTTCTAATAGAAAGACTGCCTGGTTTTCAAGACTGGATTGTGATTTCTTAAACTTTTTGGTGTAGCTTTAAGTCTTTTTATAGCAATAAATGAGCTAGGTTGGGACAGGAGCATTTGTGGTAATACAGACAGAAGGTGTTGATCCTCCTCTACAAGGAGGAAAGCTGGGCAGGAGCTCTGTGCCTGTTCTTACACCTATCAACAGTACAGTTTTGCAGAAAGCCAGCAGTAAATCCTGCACTCTCCCTGCCTCCTGTATGGGGAGGTGTGAGCGTTGTGATAAAGGGGGAATTTTATAGACAGCAAATAGAAGTTGACAGGCCAGAACCCACAAGGTTCCTTGGCTGATGACTGTGTGGGCAACCAAATGTACATTTAGATTTGCCTGGCATAGATACATGCGAACGGGGAGAATAAAGCTGTAGCCGGGGCAGTTGCAGCAGTTCAGTTCTCATTAGCTGCTCCAGCAGCCTGTGCCATAGGTTGATGCTGTAGCTCACACTGCTCCCTGGGCTGCAGGGCTACATGGTTAGAGGTGTCCGAGTTAGCGGTTTTACAGCTGCAGACGTGCTCTCAGGGTAGGTGTCACAGTGACACTTGGCCTGTAAACAGCGCTAACTGCTGCCATTAAAAGCTAGTGCCACTGGTGAGGATGTTAGAGCAGGTTTTGTGGTCTGCAGACTGCAGTCCCTGAGTCACTAGCACTGTGTGAGGCTATTTTTGCTAAACTGTATGATTATGCAAAAACCTTTGTAGTTTTGAAATATATTTACTCTATAAGATGAAGTAAAATTCAGGATGTTCTTCAGGTGAATGCAATGCTAGCCCATGTGCTACAGGTGGAACAGTTTCCTGTCCCACAGCAGATGCATCAGAGTAATGACATGCCATGGCTGTTAGAAATTTGTAGTGGAAATGCAATTGCTTGCTTTATTCCTACCAGTATGTCTGTTCTGCATGTGCGGCCAGCAAAGCATGCATCTGTCCCATGCCACAGAGTCTTGTGCATTTTTATCTGCACATAGGATGTGATTCCATAAACAGCCCGTGTTGCCACTGCCCGAGACGTCTGCACAGGCACCTACTGCGGCCGGTTTCCTTGGCAACTGGCAGAGGCTCCTGTAAGTGAGCGCGGGGATGGCGGCAGCTCCGTGTCCTCTTGCGTCCCGCTCTTGCCTGCGTGGGAAGGAGGCCGCTGCGCCGTCTGCACAGCAGCAGTTCACACCTCACCCGAACGGGCGCCCTGGGCAGCCGAGCCCCGCGTGCTTGCGCATCCCCTGCCCAAGGGCTGTGCTGCTTTCCCGGCCTCACAGGGACAGACTGAGAGCCCTGAGCCACGGTCTCCCCACAAACCAAAGCAGGATGTGGGGAATACAGATGTTTTGCTTTGCATGAGCACGCAGCTAAACAGGCCAAGGAGCTTTTGAGGAACAGCCCCAGCAACTTCTCCTGCATAGAGGATGGGCACATCTACCTAAAGAGAGCACAAATGCTTGTCTTGATGGCTTACTACCTCTACTCCACCTCATCTGCTTCTTTCTGTTAAAAAAGCTGGCCAAAATTATTAAGTTTTGAAGTTTCCTGTTGAATAATTACAGAAAACCCCGCTGTTCCAAATACTTGGGCCTTTTATTGTTGTGCTTTTGCCAGCGTGATAGTAAGTCAGTTATTCCTGCTTCACTCTGTCCCCTGGCCAGTTTCTGTTTTGCGCCAGTATTTTGCTTTGTATCTCATGGTGATGTGGGTGTTCTGACAGAGCCAGGGTTGAAGGACCCTGGCGAAAGCTTTTTGAGACCTTGAACAGATGCTGTTTGTTGGTTAATGTCCATCTACTCTGAACAAGTTCCCTCTCAACAGTACGGCAGGGTATTAGCTTGCTAGATGTTACAACATAGTCTAGGCAGATGTGTCACTTATTGCTGCTTTATTTATAGAAGATGGCAATAATAGCTTCTTGGAAAGGCAAAAAGAATATATTATCATCTCTTGGCTAATCGGGAGGCAGTTTATTCTCTTCTTTCCTATAGAATTATTTTAACAAAAGAAAAAAAAAGGCTAAACTTTATTCTTGGAATTTAAATGTACTTTACAAGGACAGTTTTTACAGAAACTGAGAAAATTACATTGGCAACTTATTACTCCTACTCTTGCTATCAATACATGCCCACAGATCAGTGTTAAAAGCCTTTATATTTCAGGTTATTTCCATTTTTGTTCTTATTGGAATCCAGTGATGTGTTAACTTCTTAATTATTGGGCTGTCTATTTCACATCTATCTCATATTTCACTCACCATGTCACCCTCCCCTAGGAAAATGTATTTTAGTCTCAAGAATGTCCTTCAACTACTTTCCTGAATGCAAAGGCCAATAATTTATTCAGGCCTTTAGCAACATTAGCCTCATCTGTCACTATTACTGCATTCATGTCCCTTAATAACCCTGTTAACTTTTTTTTCCTCCAGATAGTTGCTTCTTTTTCATGTTTATCTTTATTCATTTTGAAACGTATCCTTTCTGTTTGCATTTTGATGAATTTTCTTATCATTCCTGAAGCAGTAATGGTGATGGTTACTGCTAATGCAGTAACAGATTTTACCATCTTTTCAACACTTCTTAACAGGTCAGTTTTTTGGAATCAAACCATCAGCTGTAACTAGGAATAGATTTTTCCTTTTTTTATAATCACAGCATTTTCTGCCCCCCTGCCTTTTTTCTTTAAACTCAGATTTGTCAGCAAAAATATAAAAATTTCTTAGTGCGGGTTTAAATGGATGAAGCATTTACTTGTAGCAAATCCAAAAGGCTGCCAATTATACCTACCCACATAACCTGTTCTTTAAGTGCTCTGAAAAT